CCTTCTTCTCCCCCGGACTTCAGAAGGCCGCGACTGAGATCCGCCCCCACTCTTCAGGTTTAACCCCCCCCCCTCCCCCCCTGGAAATTTAAAGTAACACCCCCAGTCCTATGGGGGCTGGACTCTTCTTTTTTAAAAAATATATTTTATTAATCATTATTATTTAAAAAAAATATTTCTTTATTGATTTCAGAGAGGGAGGGAGTGGGAGAGAGAAATAGAAATCAATGATGAGAATCATTGATCACATGCCTCCTACTGGGGATGGAGCCTGCAACCCGGGCATGTGTCCTTGGCTGGAATTGAACCCAGGACCCTTCAGTCCGCAGGCTGCTTTATCCGCTGAGTTAAACCGGGTAGGGCTATTAATTAATTTAAAAATATATATTTTATTGATTTCAGAGAGGAAATCAATAAAATATATTTCAGATATATATATATATATATATATATATATATATAGAGAGAGAGAGAGAGAGAGAGAGAGAGAGAGAGAAACATCAATGATGAGAGAGAATCATTAATTGGCTGCCTCCTGCACGCCCCCCACTGGGGATCGAGCCTCAACCTGGGCATGTGCCCTTGACCGGGAATCAAACCGTGACCACCTGGTTCATAGGTCGATGCTCAACCACTGAGCAACACGGGCCAGGCTGAACTCTCCCAACTCAGGAGGTTTCAGAGTCCAAAGGTTTAGAAAAAAAATGCGTCTGAGGACCAGAGAGGTTATGCCACTTACCCCAAGCCACACAGCACAAAAGGGTGGGAGCCGGTGTTTGCAACCCACAGTTCAAACGGTTTCAGGCGGTTTTGGAAGCCTGAAAACGGGTGCGATTGCCCGGCCGGTGTGGCTCAGTGGTTGAGCGTTGACCTATGAACCAGGAGGTCAGGGCACATCCCCAGGTTTCAGACTCTATGGCCAGAGGGGGGAGGGGGGTGCAGGAGGCAGCCGATCCATGATTCTCTCTCATTGACGTTTCTCTCTCTCTCTCTCCCTTCCTCTCTGAAATCAATAAAAATGTGTATTAAAGATAAATAAATGAAAAGGAAGTAGGCCAAACGTGAACCAAGATAAACACAGTGTTGATCTTCAGTCACCATGAAGGACACTGCGAATAGAGACCCACGGTTTCTCCGAGAAGGCGATGTGGCCAAGGCGAGCGGGCCACCACCAGAGGGCGCTGTGGCACCAGGGAATGAAGAAAACCCGCCCAAACAGAGCCTTTTCCTCACAAAATAAGGGAAAAAGGAAGATTTCAGCGGGAGCCTCTGGGATCGGGGGGAGGCTGGGGAGGCAAAGGGGTCACCCTGTGAGCGGGTTGGGGTCCCCAGTCCCTTGGGCCCAGGAAATGCTGGTTAAGGCCCCCCCAACCCTCCAATTTTTTACAAACGGGCTCCGGAAGCACAAGGAAGAAACTTGAACCCAACACGGCTTTCCTGAACGCGGCTTTGGAAGCCTGAAAACGGGTGCGATTGCCAAAGCGCCCCGCGCCCCTGCCGCCTCCCCTCCCTAGCGCCTGGGTCGCGGAGTGCGAAGTTAGCGTTATCGGTTGCCATGACGACGGAGCAGCGTTGCAGGACGTCACTGGCGTCCGTTGTGTCTGGGTTCCCCGGTCCCGTCCTCTGTAATCCGCGCAGGGCCGGTCTGACCCGGGTGATGATGCCACAGCGGGGCTGCCTGGTGGTGAGAAGCGCCTTGTGCATCAGGGGCCCCGGGTTCAAGTCCACCTCCCAGCTGAGCGTCTTGGACAAACTCTTTTTGTTTTTGTTTTTTTTTTAATTTTTTTTATTGATTTCAGAGAGGAAGGGAGAAGGAGAGAGATAGAAACATCAATGATGAGAGAGAATCATGGATCGGCTGCCTTCTGCAGGCCCCACACTGGGGATGGAGCCCGCAACCCAGGGATAGCCCTGGCCAGTAGGTTCAGTGGCTAGAGCACCAGCCTGCGCACCTGAGGGTCATAAGTTTGATTCCCAGTCAAGGGCACGCACCTGGGTTGCAGGTTCAATCTCCCAGCCCCACCTTGGGGGTGTTCAGGAGGCAGCCAATCTCTCTCTCTCTCTCTCTCTCTCTCTCTCTCTCTCTCTCTCTCCTCTCCCTTCCACTCTCTAAAAACCAATGGGAAAAAAATATCCTTTCACCTCTTGGGTGAGGATAAAAACAAAACCAAACCACCACCAACAAAAACCAGAGGTAAAGAGAAAGGGAAGAAAATGGGGTACCAAAGCAGAGAGAGAGGGGGGCCAGGGAAAGAAGGGTTCTGAGTGGATTGGGAGACCCAGAGAGCATGTTGGCGGCAAACGGAAGACGCCTGCAGAGATGGCGGGGGGGGGGGGGGGGGATGGGGGGGGAGGAGGGTCCGACGGGAGGGAGGAGGTCCCCAGGCTCTCACAGGTGAGGGACCCAGAGCCCTTGGGGGGGGGGATCCGCTCCTCCCAGCGAAATGGACCAAGCCCCTGACCCTGAACGTGGGGGCTCCAGGCTCCCGAAGCTCAGCCAGCGACCCCGGGTCAGCGGGACTTGGCCCATGGAGTGAAGGGCGTGCAGAGCGACGGGGAGGGGCCAGGAGTGGAGCGCAGACGACAGAGAGAAAGGGCGGCCGGTGCTTACACGGTGCACCCAAAGGTTGCAGGTTCATTGGCCCGGCGTGTCTCAGTGGCTGAGCATCAACCTAGGAACCAGGAGGTCACGGTTAGATTCTGGGTCAGAGCACATGTCCAGATTGTGGACTCGATCTCCCCAGTGTGGGGCGTGCAACAGGCAGCCGATCAATGATTCACTCTTATCATTGATGTTTCTCTCCCTCTCCCTCTCCCTCTCCCTTCCTCTCTGAAATCAATAAAAACATATTTTTAAAAAAGGTTGCAGGTTTGATCCCGGTTGAGGTGTGTTGGAGAGTTAACCGGTGATGTTTCTCTCTCTCTCTCTCTCTCTCTCTCTCTCTCTCTCTCTCTCTCAATAAATATATCCTCAGGTGAGGATTAAAGAAACAAACACACAAAGAAAGGATGTTACAATCTATAGATGATGCATTATAGAGCTGTACACCTGAAACCCATCTAAGTGTATTAATCAACGTCGCCCCAATACAATTTTTAAAGGTACCTTTATTTTTTAAAATATATTTTTATTGATTTCAGAGAGGAAGGGAGAGGGAGAGATAGAAACATCCATGATGAGAGAGAATCATTGATCGGCTGCCTCCTGCAAGTGCCCCCACTGGGGATCCAGCCCACAACCCGGGCATGTGCC